AACCCAGAAACCAGTCAGTCACATACAGCAAACCCCAAGTCTACAGTTGCTCCCAAAGTCCACTGCCTCAGTTTGGGGATGATTTGTTGTCTATTCAGGTATTCCACAGATGCAGGGTACATCAAGTTGATTGTGGAGATTTAATCTGCTGCTCATGAGGCTGCTGGGAGAGATTTCCCTTTCTTTTCTTTTCGCACAGCTCCTGGGGTTCAGCTTTGGCTTGGCCCCGCCTCTGCGTGTAGGTTGCATGAGGGCGTCTGTTCTTCGCTCAGACAGGATGGGGTTAAAGGAGCAGCTGATTCGGGGTCTCTGGCTCACTTAGGCCGGGGCAAGGGAGGGGGTATGGATGCGGGGCGAGCCTGCGGTGGCTGAGGCCAACATGACGTTGCACCAGCCTGAGGCGCGCCGTGTGTTTTCCCGGGGATGTTGTCCCTGGATCATGGGACCCTGACAGTGGCGGGCTGCACAGGCTCCCCGGAAGAGGGATGTAGATAGTGCCCTGTGCTCGCACACAGGCTTCTCGGTGGCGGCAGCAGCAGCCTTAGCATCTCATGCCCGTCTCTGGGGTCTGCGCTTTTAGCCGAGGCTCGCGCCCGTCTCTGGACTCGTTTGTTCTCTGAATCCCCTCTCCTCGCGCACCAGGAAACAATGGTCTCTTGCCTCTTCGGCAGGTCCAGACTCTTTTCCGGATTCCCTCCCGGGTAGCCGTGGTGCACTAACTCCCTGCAGGCTGTGTTCCCGCCGCCAACCCCAGTCCCCTCCCTGTGCTCTGACCAAAGCCCGAGCCTCAGCCCCCAGCCCCGCCCGCCTCGGCGGGTGAGCACACAAGCCTCTCGGGCTGGTGAGTGCCGGTCGGCACCGGTCCGCTGTGCGGGAATCTCCCCGCTTTGCCCTCCGCACCCCGTTGCTGCGCTCTCCTCCGTGGCTCCGAAGCTCCCCGCTCCGCCGCCCGCAGTCTCCGCCCGCGAAGGGGCTTCCTAGTGTGCGGAGACCTTTCCTCCTTCACGGCTCCCTCCCACTGCTGCAGGTCCCGTCCGTATTCTTTGTCTTTGTCTCTTTTTTCTTTTTTCTTTTGCCCTACCCAGGCACGTGGGGAGTTTCTTGCCTTTTGGGAGGTCTGAGGTCTTCTGCCAGCGTTCAGTAGGTGTTCTGTAGGAGTCGTTCCACATGTAGATGTATTTCTGATGTATTTGTGGGGAGGAGGGTGATCTCTATGTCTTACTCGTCCGCCATCTTGAATGTTCAGTCAACTGATCTTTACACTGGAAAACATGTCACCTACTGTTTGTAGTATCTAGAGATCATTATCTTATTCCTTTCCATGCAGACCAAAGAAGTGAAAAATGTGATGAATAGCCTTTTTGTAAAAGTCTAGTTATTTATTTATAACCTACCAAAGGCCAATGATAATAATATGATGGCAACGAAGGAGGATAATTAACTGAGCCTTCTGCACCTGGAGACCAATTGGCACGGGACCCCATCCACCTTTGGTTGTCTTAAGCAGTTCAACATATATTTCTAATCTTGTACAGTAATGAGATTAAAGTCCTTATGTTACTGTAAGTACTTTGGTTTAAGAATTTAGCTTCTTAAAATATCATTTCAGAAAGGGCTTAGAGTATCCATAGAGGTGATTTTAAAAGTTTTATTTTATATAATTTTATGGATTGCCAGATATCTACACCAGATATCTACAAAAGGACTAAGAGGAAAATAAAATTTGGCTACCAGACAAGACAGTATCAAGGCAATGTGAAAGAGCTGTTCAAAAAAATAGATAATTCAGGGCTTCCCTGGTGGCACAGTGGTTGAGAGTCCGCCTGCCGATGCAGGAGACACGGGCTCGTGCCCCGGTCCGGGAAGATCCCACATGCCACAGAGCGGCTGGGCCCGTGAGCCATGGCCGCTGAGCCTGCACGTCCGGAGCCTGTGCTCCACAACGGGAGAGGCCACAACAGTGAGAGGCCCACGTACCGCAAAATAAATAAATAAATAAATAATGATAATAATAATAATAATTCAGGCAATTGGGTGTTTGGGTTTAGCAATTATTAATAACCAATTTGACTACTTCCACACCATACTAATATACGGTGATCTTCTGGCTATTGTAAGAGCAAAGAAGTGTAATCTATGAATGAAGCTACTCTGGACCACCTATTGTAGATATTAAATAGACAGGCCAGAATTCATCCTGAGTAAATAGACAGGCCAGAATTCATCCTGAGTGTGAAAAAGCAGCATGTGTAAATTTAATTCAGTAGAAAATGTCAATGTTTTCCTCACAGTGAGAATTTCAGCCATGTCTTCCCAGTGTGAGCCATGTCTTATTGCTCTACTATATTCAGAATATGTACTAATTCTGACAGAAGTTGAAACTAATGTGTACACTTTATGTTTACTCAACATAAGGGCCTTCTTACAGAGATGGTGAAAACTGATAGTTTAAACAACCAAAACAAATGAATAGACAAAAGTGTTTTTTAAAGCACCTGTTTACATTGCTAGAGCTACAAGGGTTATCAGAAGCATCTGTCACCCCATGGATGTCAAGATTGATCCGTGCTATGTGTTCGCTGTTTGGATGACAATGACCTTCCCAGAGAGAGGAGTCACATCGCTGAGTTAAGACTGAGATTTTCACATATTTATTACAACAAGTTTCCTGAGGAGTTGAACAAGGCAATGTTGCTAACTTAGCTTACTTAATATGTACAAAAATACGATAAAATTTACACATTTGAAAATATTCTAAAGTCAGATTTTGCTCTGATTGGCTACCCAATTAGGGAAAATTATTAAGATTTTTACTAACAGTAATCTGAAACATAAAAATTAAGTTTAGGTTTAAAAACAATTCTTGGAATGATCATAATCTATGATGCCTCTTGACTGGACAGTAATAAAAAGATACAGAGCACTAGAATTGAACTTTTGCTGTTTTAACTCATACTAATGTCATATATCTTGCCAGAATAAACTCTTTTTTTTAAGTGCTTTGCACATTATGCAACTATAGAGGTTAGTACATTTTTCAGATATAAACACAATGACATATTGCTGAAGCTTGCTTCTTCTGGAATTTGAAGTCATTTCAAATACTGAATGAGAATATATTTACCATATCATAAAATATCACTTCATCAAAGTGAGACTCCAAGACCTCCTATCCTTCTCTGAACTGCTAAAGTCCATTATTTGATAAGGTTGGATGATGCTTACAGGCCTAAAAGTTCAGCAAAAATCTTAGCTACCTAGAGAAAGAAGAGACTCTTTACAGAGTCAAAATGTGGATGAGAAACAAGGTAACAAAACAGCCAGAAATGATGATTTGGAAAGTAGCAATTTTGGCATAAATATCTTGAGAGTCACTATGGACCACAAGTTGAATATGAATATGCAAAACAGCAATGAAAACAAAAATGCCATATTAAGATGTGCTAAATAGAATACAACAGACAGATCTGTTGTGGTTCTGTACCATGAAGACTGTCTTTTGCCAAAGCTCTTTGCAACCCCGGGATGGCTTAAGAGCAGTGATTAAACACAGCCAGATAGTTCTATCTTTCACTGCGGTGGAAAGACCTCCCTGGCTTGGAACTCTGCCTTTAAAATTGTGGGCATAGTTCAGAAGGCAAGTGCTGGTTAAAGGGATTCTGAAAAAAAGGACTGTTTTCGTTATGCATTAAGGCAGTCCTTTCAAACACAAGACCCCAAATAACAGCAGCAAATATTTGGTGAACCTCAACCCCTCCTCAGTTTATATGCGGGGAGTAAGATACAGTTTTCATTCTTTGTTTCTTTCCTGGAATAAAACATCAGGTGCCGTGGAAGAGCTGAGGGCTCCTAATTTGCTAGATTGCTTTAAAGGTCAGAATTGGAAAATTAAGGATTAAATGGCGATTGATTTTACGTGAGTGGGAGTGATAACTAGGCCCTTCTGCATTTTGCACCATTGCTTCTAGCAGGAGGATGTCAACAAATATCACGTAGAATGTCATCTCTGATGACCGGTGGTGGCCTCCTGGGAGCTGCATTGAGGACCCGAGCCCTGGTCAGGCTGGCAGGAAAGATCCTGACTATGAGGAAGGGTACCTGCCTCGGGCACAGACAAAGCCTACTGCTGTTCTGTTTGTTCCAAACAACCTTAAAGATCTCAGAGACACAGAAGGTGGCAGAGGAGGCCCAGCTGCACACATCTATCCATACATCACACGCAAGGGAGTTGTGGTGAGGGCAGGGATGAGCCGTGGGGAAATGTGAACAAGCAGCTGATTTTCTCTGAGAAGGAAAACGGTTGCTCTTTCACTGAGAATTCCATTCCTCCCTCACCTGTGGCCAACTCAGGGTCAACACGTCCCCAAACAGCATCCCTTCAGGACTGTGGGCTCTCACACTGTGTCTCATGGCAGGTGGAAATGAGCTTACCCACCCCCTGGGATGGGGTCCACATTGAAACACTTGCTTTGTTTGCTGTCTATTCCATGACATAACTCACCTTGAGCAAAGTTCCCCCTGAATGTAATTGACCTATCAGAGAACTTAACTCATGAGAGGAAATTCTCCAAAGCTAGCTAGGTCGCAAGGTGACCCAGAAGGAAACCATAGACAGCTTCCTGATTTGTACCCCGAGGAATGAAGCAGAAAGGTAACAAGGACTTGAGAGCGTGGCCAGGGTGATGGTACAGTCATCTAGAGGTTGGCTGAGCGGAGGGAACACCCACTGATAAGCGCTGACTGCATCTTATGGTTCCTCCACCCTCAGCGATGGATGGCAGCCACGCCTTTGCCCAGCACTTCTCAGTCGAGCATTCTTCCAAGTACAGGTGATGCACTGGGCGTTGGAAGAGTGGGCGCTGGAAGCAACAGCAAAAGGTTCTTGTGTTTACATTGATTTGAAATTAATTAAATTCGGGTCCTCTTCATCCTCTGCTGGCAGGCCCAGCAGGCTCCCTCCGGGGCTGCTTTCTCTTGGAAAATGTTAGCATCATTCAGTTTCAGGATTCATTGTCACTGCAAAAAACAGAACAATAGTATATTTCCAAGAAGCTGCTGAGAGCTGGTCGCTCAGCTATGGAGGTGACTCAGGAGAACATAGCAGTCAGGGAGCCGACGGTGTCCAGATTACAATTTCTGAAACAAAGGTCAGTTCAGTTTGGATTTTATATCTGAACCCTGAGGAGGAGATCTAGGAAAGCCCAGAAATAATCCCTAGCTCTAGTTGTAATATCCTTCCCCAGGGCTGATGTGGAGAGAACCAGATGGAGCCGGGGTTCCCCCTTTAAAGAAATCGAATCCCATTCTCTAGGAATAGATGCCAAACTGCCTTTCCTTTTTCCTTAAAAAAAATTTTTCAATATGTTATTTTCTCTCAAGGGTTTGTGGTCCTGGCATGTTTTCGAAAGCCCATTTTTTTCCCCAGGCACAGAGGATCTGGAAGTGCCTTCTCCGTGTCATTTAGAATTCAATCATCAGGCATCTTGAGGTGTGAGTAGACATAAATTCTGGACATGGTGTGTGGACATAACCATGCTAGCGGGCTAATTTCTGCTTTTGTTTCTCACTTGGCTCTCTCAGCCACAGGTCTGGCTCTATCGCTCTTTCCCAGTGAGACCATGTCTCCACCCAAGTCTCGTGGAAAGCAGACTACTTGACCTCCCCCACCTCCACCCACTTTTTTAAAATTTTGTGTCCTTTCACCCAAATTCTAGCATGTCTCCACTTGAAGTGACCTGTGTTTCCAAGGAAGTGCCTGAATAACGATCATCAGCAGGACCTGGTGTCTCCTTAGCTCAGAGGCTCATAGAGGCTGCAATAGACCATGTTTTTCTGACTCCTACTTCAGTTCTTGCCTGCTCAGTGACACACCAGGTGTTTCCAAAAGGTCTCTGAAACAACTTGATAGATGATAGAGCCAGCTAGCTAGCTAGATGATAGAGAGCCAGCTAGCTAGCTAGATGATAGAGAGCCAGCTAGCTAGATGATAGAGAGCCAGCTAGCTAGCTAGATGATAGAGAGCCAGCTAGCCTGATGATAGAGAGCCAGCTAGCTAGCCTGATGATAGAGAGCCAGCTAGCTAGCTAGATGATAGAGAGCCAGCTAGCTAGATGGTAGAGAGCCAGCGAGCTAGCTAGATGATAGAGAGCCAGCTAGCTAGCTAGCTAGCTAGATGATAGAGAGCTAGCTAGCTAGCTAGATGATAGAGAGCTAGCTAGGTAGCTAGATGATAGAGAGCTAGCTAGCTAGATGATAGAGAGCTAGCTAGCTAGATGATAGAGAGCTAGCTAGGTAGCTAGATGATAGAGAGCTAGCTAGGTAGCTAGATGATAGAGAGCTAGCTAGCTAGATGATAGAGAGCCAGCTAGCTAGATGATAGAGAGCTAGCTAGCTAGCTAGATGATAGAGAGGTAGCTAGCTAGCTAGATGATAGAGAGCCAGCTAGCTAGATGGTAGAGAGCCAGCGAGCTAGCTAGCTAGCTAGATGATAGAGAGCTAGCTAGCTAGATGATAGAGAGCCAGCTAGCTAGCTAGATGATAGAGAGCCAGCTAGCTAGCTAGCTAGATGATAGAGAGCCAGCTAGCTAGCTAGCTAGGTAGCTAGATGATAGAGAGCTAGCTAGATGATAGAGAGCTAGGTACCTAGCTAGATGATAGAGAGCTAGCTAGCTAGATGATAGAGAGCTAGCTAGCTAGCTAGATGATAGAGAGCTAGCTAGCTAGCTAGATGATAGAGAGCCAGCTAGCTAGCTAGCTAGGTAGCTAGATGATAGAGAGCTAGCTAGATGATAGAGAGCTAGGTACCTAGCTAGATGATAGAGAGCTAGCTAGCTAGATGATAGAGAGCTAGCTAGCTAGCTAGATGATAGAGAGCTAGCTAGCTAGCTAGATGATAGAGAGCCAGCTAGCTAGCTAGCTAGATGATAGAGAGCTAGCTAGCTAGATCTATCCAAGAAAGAGGAGGAGAGACATTGTGTATGTGTTTGTGTGTCTGTGTCTGTGTTGTGAAGACACGGGGAAGAAGCTGTGACCAGGAAGGCTGACCAATGGGAAAGAAAGGGGAAAGCAGACATGGACAAAAGGACAACTTCTGTAGGAAAACTTATTTAATGGAAACCTGACTGCAAATGAAGACATTCTTTATCTGAAGAACAAACGTAACAACCCGTTTCATAAGTCACACTGAACAGCTCTTAAACTGGGCAAGGAGGCTTCCTTTCTTGGAAACTGGGTGGTAGCAAGATAATATTTCTGAGATCCAGGAGTTCATCTCTGTGGAGCATAAGTCTCTGAAGTGCATGTTTTCCTTTCGTGGCCTTATCTTGACATTTCAGCTACTCTAAGCAGACCAAAATACAAGGCTGTACAGCAATGGGCACAATCCCTCTTTTGTCCACAACGCTAATCTGTGTCCAGCAGTTAAAATAGAAGTGATTTTTAAAGTTAATTATTATAAGACTAATCCATATTCATTGTTGAAAAAATAAAAAATACAAATAAGCCAAATAAAAATACTAACAACCTCACTACAGTTAACATTTTGGTATTTATTCTTCCAAACTTTTTTCTGTGATAATGACATATATTCTTTTTGTACAAAAATGGAATTATGTTCTGCATATTGTTCTGTAATCTGCTTTTCTCACTCTCATTCATATATAGACCTCTTTTCTGGCTAATAAATATACCATATCTTTTTAATTGGCTATAGAGCACACCATTGTCTCACATTGTCTCACCAAGAACATTATTTTTAGGCATATCCTTATTGTTAAACATTAATTTCCAATTTATAATTTTTATTTATTATAAAAATTGCTACATTTTTGCATGCTTCCAGTTGTTACCTTTGCATAAATATCTAGAAGAGGAATTGCTAGATTAAAACGTATGCAATTTTAAAGCTTGACCAGCCCATTGTCCAATTATCCCCCTTCCCTAGAAATTTACCTTCTCTTGACACTTTCCTTTAGGGAAATATCCTTTCCCCAACATTCTAATACTGGATATTATTATTTTTAGCTTTTGTAAATTTAATAGGTGAAAATAATCTAATATTTACCTTTACATATTCTTGGGTTACATTTTTTTGTTACTAGGAAGACTAAAGTTTTTTTCAAAGCTCTGTTGGTAATTTTAATTTCTTCTTTTGCCAAACTGCTTATTAATATTCTTTGCCCATATAGGACATTATATTTTTATTGATTTATGTATTAATAATAATTCCTTGTTCATCATACATATTGCATATACTTTCCCCCAATTTGTCATTTTCCTCCTAATTTTATATTGTGTTTTTGGAAGTATAAAAAATTTGAGTTTTTAATGTAGTTAAGTCTATCCTTTTCTGATATGGTTTCTGACTGTGTGTCATGTTTTCAACCTGACCTCACCTTACAGTTATAATATTTATCTTTAATTTTTCTGGATTTTTTTTCTTTCTTTTTCACATATAAACTTATCCGGAGTCTATTTTAATCTAAAGTGTGAGGTCGAGTTCTAAATTTTCCCTCCAAATGTTAGTCAGTTGTTTTAAGACTATTTACTGAATAATCCACTTGCTATGAATTGCAACTTTTATAATATATTAAATGTTTACATATACTTGAGGCTGTTTTGAATATTCTATTCTATGCTAGTAATACTAATTTGGTTCTGGGTGTACACAGTTTTAATTATTGGAGCATGTTCCCTGCAAATCCACCTCCCCACACACAATTGTTCTTTTTCCTTCTTTTAGAATTACCCTATCTGCGCACAATTATTCTCCCAGATGAAATGCTCATTGGGATCTTTAAAAGACTAAGTTGAATTTAAAAGGATAATTTTCACACTGTTGAGTCTTTCATTCAGAAACACAGTATGTCTTTCTCCATTTGTTTATATCTTTGATGTCCCTCCATAAAAATTTGAACAATTTCTTTTTATATTATCCATACATTTTTTGTTTTTTTGCGGTACGCGGGCCTCTCACTGTTGTGGCCCCTCCCGTTGCGGAGCACAGGCTCCGGACGCGCAGGCTCAGCGGCCATGGCTCACGGGCCCAGCCGCTGCGCGGCATGTGGGATCCTCCCAGACCGGGGCACGAACCCGCGTCCCCTGCATCGGCAGGCTGACTCTCAACCACTGCGCCACCAGGGAAGCCCAATCCATGCATTTTTTGATTAAGTTTTTGCCTAGGTATTTCTCTTCTTGGGCTGCTTCTATGGTTGAGCCAATACTGGCATGTGCTCATGGTGGATTTTTGCTGACTCTCACCACTGCGCCACCAGGGAAGCCCAATCCATGCATTTTTTGATTAAGTTTTTGCCTAGGTATTTCTCTTCTTGGGCTGCTTCTATGGTTGAGCCAATACTGGCATGTGCTCATGGTGGATTTTTGAGCACAGGGTCAGGTGGGCAGAGCTTAAATCAGGGCTCAGCCACTTTCTCGCTGTGTGACCTTGAGCAAGTTAACATTTCTTAGCCCATCTCATCTGCAAAACATGCATAATAATACCATGTGCCTTAGAAGGCTGTTGGAAAAAAATCAATGAGAAAATGTAGGCGAAGCTCTATGCCACGGGCCTGACCTCCAGACCCATGAATGGGCATTCTGATTTTGCTAGATTCTATGCTACCAAATGTTCAGTTAAACACAAGCTTGAACATTGCTTCAAATATCCAGAGCCTTTAAGAAACCATCTTCCAAAACAAAGTTTCAGTTTCTGAGGACAGTGTAACCTAAATACGGTTTGTTTAGAACACTCTACAAACATGAAGGCTTAGAGTGTGACACTGCCTACCAACCAGAACCCATTCATTTAAAGCATCAAAGAGCACAGGACCTCACGCATGATACGTGTGGAACTTATGTGTTTATAGATCTGGCCACTGACAACGTGCCAGGCCTGCCACACCAGAGACAGTCCCAGTGTGGGTACAAGTTGCTTCAGCAGTGGGTCAGCAGGTCATTCCTAGTGTCGCAACTCTCACACGCGATTTTCACTGGTGGTATGATGGCCAACGTGCCTGTTA